TCTGCAGGAAAATGCCATGGAGTGCGGCTCAGCCAGTCGCCTCTCCAGCTGCCTGGCGGTAAATCTGCTGCCTCTGATCGCAGCGACCGTCAGCAGGTGACCATGAGCTGCACGTCTGCAGCCACATCCACCAGAAGACGCTTAGAAACACTTAGAGAACGTGACTGATCAGAACCGACTTCGCTCTCCTCTGCAGCAGACATTACTCTACTAAGACTCTATTAGGTCTTTATCAGTAGCTCTGAGGCTCACATCCATTACTGCAGAAAACACAACATAATGTGAACTATAAGAGTGTGTGCTTGGTGAGTTTGCTCTGCTCACTGCAAATCACTACACTGATAGTTTGTCTTGCTCTGAATGTGTGCTGAATTAATGGGAGGGAAGAAAATGTCAAAGTCTGAACAAGTCCACTGTGCAAAAGAAGATATTATGTGTGTTTCATTGTCATGAGGAAAAAATAAAGGAATGTAAAATGCACTTTTGTGAGCTATGGAAAGAATAAGGAAACAATACTTTTTGGCTATAAATCAATGAAAATAATTTAATGTGCAATTGTTTTATTTCCCTGAATATTTTAGTTGCTTTTCTAACAAAATATCTATTGTTAAAAAATATCATTTATAAAAGATAGTAAATAAAAATGTTATTTGAACGGTTCTGCCAGTTTCTCTTCAATTAAAGTGAGAGACGTTAAAAATGCATGATGAAGATGCCGTGTGTTGAAGAATGTTACATTTATATATTCAGCCATAATTTGTTGAAACGTCCATGTAATCTTAACCATGTGTCTAAGAAAAGAGATTAATAAACCTAAAGAATTATTTTCCTTCTTTACACATTGTGCTGCTTCCTCTTTGTGCCTTTGTGTGTCAAGTTTACATATAAATGTTAAAAAGACAAAAACAAACCAAATCATAACAGAGAAAGGGAAACAAGCATGGTTGTCTTGAACAGGGAACTGGTTTAAAATGTATTGGCGAAACACAAACGGTTGTGTCTCAGAAGACATAACAGCATCACATGGGAGAGTCAACGTTCGATTGCAAAGATATTGGGCTGACCACCTGTGGACTGGAAGACTATGGTAGTCTGCAGCAAGGCCATTTGCTGGGGTGTGAAAGCAGGAGGACCTGTGTGAATACAACAAAACAACATTTTTATAATACTCCAATAACAACTACAAACTCAGATTTAAAATAAAAAGTATATAAGAAGCAGGACATCAACTTATACATTGTTCATAGAGGAACTCCAACTTCCTATCAGAAAATATAAGCAGCTCACCTGTAGCAGAGTCAACTACAAGAATGTAGGCCACTGTTTGGTAGACATCTTCATCCCCAACAGGTAACGTTTTCTGGGTGATTGAGAAGAAGTGATGTAGAGTTCAAATAAATACACAAATTAAATGTGGTGGTCTTTTAATTTTTGCCTGAATGCTCTGGAAAAAATGAAGAGCCCACTGCACTGAACCCCATTGAAAACCTCATGATTATTCCCCCAAATATTGATTTCTGAACATCAGTATTGTTGTTCAAAATGAATATGAACTTGTTTTCTTTGCATTATTTAAGCTCTGCATCATTTTTGTTATTTTGACTATTTCTCATTTTCTGTAAATAAATACGAAATTTTTGCTTGGAATTTCAGAGACATGTTGTCAGCAGTTCATAGAATAGAAAAACAACGTTCATTTTACTCAAACATATGCTTATAAAAAGTAAAATCAGAGAAACTGATCATCTTAAGTGTTTTTGTTTTTTATGGATAAACTCAAAAGTATACATATTTTTACCACTTCTCCGGGTTTTCCTGAGTCCTCTTGTTCATCTATAAAGTGTGAAAGAAGAACACAAATATAACAACTTACTCATTATCTGCACATGTAAATGAGTAATCTGCAAATGATTGATTCAATGACATAAAATGCTTGCTTTTTTTTTTTTTTTTAAAAAAGACATTGTAATCTAATTGTTCTTAGATTTTTGCAAATGCATAGAACTTGGTGCAGAAACTTTTTCAACAAGCAGAGGGATGAGGCCTTTTCTGTACTTGGTCACCAGATTTACAGGTTTCACAGAAAATCTCTAAACCCACATTGATAGAGAGGATCCAGAGGAGGAAGCTAATTCAGTGGAAAGGTGTGCTTTGTTTACATAAAAAGTTAAGGTCAAAAGTATCTGTAATTATTTCACTGATTTGTTAATTATGGGGACACAGTCCGTCTGCGGGATGCAAAATTCTGGCAAAGAGGTAAGTGATGACGTCCTTTTTCCATTAGTGGCATCCAAATCTTGTTTTGCTTTTTATTTATTTATTTTTTATTTCTGGACTTTTGGTTGATATTGTGTCTCTACATATATAAAAGTGAGCAGTGCATTGCTTTGAAAATACATCATTTTTCAAAGCTGAAAATGGTGTATCGCTTTGCATCTAGCAAATAAATGCACCACTAGCAAAACTATAAATATGAAATAAGGTAAAATAAATATGTTCTCACCAGTTATTTGGCAAATCACGACTGTGAAAAGCAGCAAAATGATGCCGAGGACTGATCCAAAACCAGTAAAAGCCACAAGTAATATTTTCAGAATCAACAAATCTGTTGAAAAGATACACAGTCAAAATAAGTCAAACTAGACAAAAAGCAGCTGTATGGCATGTTGATGCTATAATGTTTATGTTTTTACATAAACATTTTAATAATTACGCAAAAACATAACACATAAGTAAAAAAATTAATAAAATGACTGCCATTAAAATTTAATTCAAACTGGATTTAATAAAATGTTAAAGTTTCAGTTTATGTTCTGAAGTTTATGTGAACACATGTTTACCTGGCAATGGTGCAGATGAGACTTTATCTACAGTAAAGCCGTCAGTCGGATTATTGTTTGATTCTAAAAGGAGATAAAAAATATTCACATGAATGAGGATAATATTTACTTTTATTATATTTCTAGTTTTAATGCAATACAGCAATTAAAAAAATTAAATGTATCATTGTTCATAAGAGCATGAAAGGAGAGGAGAGCTCAAAGTGGAACTAGAACGACACCTGTTCTGCTTGTGGGTCCAGTTGAAGTTCTGCTTGTGGGTCCAGTTGAAGTTCTGCTTGTGGGTCCAGTTGAAGTTTGGCTGGGAATGAACGTTGTTAAATCATTTTTCTTCTCTGCTTCATCTGAAACAAATAATTGCAGCAGAATGTATTTTTGTAGTATCATCATGTTGGGATTCAATAATCCACAGATGGTCACTTACCTTGAATGAGGATGGATGATGGATTCCCATATTCAGAAAGCACCTGTCCGGGTTCAGCTCTGTACCGACAGTTCACTTTAAGATTAGCAGGAAGCCTTCGACTTTCCATGTTTATCATTTGTAGCAGTTCAGCTCCTCTTAGCGTCTGATGACAGGAAATGTTTCTCTCAAGTCCTTTTGACTCAAACAGAATGAATAAATAACACATAGAGACAGAAAAAGATGAAGGAGCCGCGCAGGTCAGTGTGACTGTGTCCGTTTCTGTGATCACTGCTGGATTCACGGTAAATTCAGGTCCAGGAACAGCTGCAAAATAAAAAAACAAACTTACTTTTGTGTGCTGTCAAGCTGAAATAAGACGGGCAACATCTCTAAAATGTCTCTAAACTCTGGCATCCATCTTGGTTCACATCACTGCAGTCAAATGTTTGGGTTGAACTTGGTGATGTGAGGCTTGGATGCAGCTGTGACTTTGCTATGATCTAAGTAACAATGAACTCAGATTATACAAATAACACAACTGGGCTTGTTACACAGCTGGCTTCCTATCATGGCAGCAGAAGCAGTCTGCAGGGGCTGGAGCTTTTACGGCCATAAAAATGGTCTAGTGNTATATATAAATTGTTCTTCACAGATTTTTTCCATCAAATCTGATTGAGGATTACCTTTTAAGCAATCATAGATTTCAGCTTTGAGAAAGTAAGACAAATACTCCCAAAAGACCTGCGGCTGTAATTGCAGCAATAATGGTGGGATTCTCCCAATTTGATTTTATTTTTTTAAATTAGGCAACCACATACGATTTCTTTCTTCCATTTCAAAAATTACAAATAAATCCAATAAAATGTTTTCATTTGTTCCGACTGTTTGCATCAATGAAACCTCTGAAGCTACATAAAACACATCAAACTGTTCAACATTATGTTAACATACTGAGGTGTAACAGCAGTGTGTGTCTTCTGCAGGAAAATGCCATGGAGTGCGGCTCAGCCAGTC